GATAGAAGGGAGGAACTTCTTATGTCACTCAAATTCCATCCCGAATTGTCTGCTTGGGTTTTATTAGGTGGAACAAAGAAATGGATGATGAGATCCACTACCTTTAAAGCTGAATCTTTTTATCATATATAGCTTGCTGAAATCCATCATATCTATGAATATGCCTGGGAGAATTATTCTTCTTGCTCCAGTAAATAACTTGTTAGCAATATATGCTACTCTATGCCCATAAAGTATGTTGGCTCACATACAAGCTAGGAACCTTATATTTTTGCATCTGTGAATAACAGAGCTGGATCTCAAAATTCACATCTGGCTTATGTACCTAATCAGGCAGGGCTGAATCCTGCCTTTCTGCCAGCAGTGGCCATGTGGAAAGGAAATACTCAAATACCATACTGCAGCTCATCAGCACAGCATGTTGAACATACATGGACTTTAGCAACCTCTTCCACTTCTAGTTCTGGAGCTGCCAGGAGCACCTGACTTCTGCAGATGCACAGTGGAAAAAGCAAGGAAAGGAAAAACCAAACCCAAATGGGAAAGAACACTGGTGTCTATAAAGAGCATGGGTAAATCTGAATAATAATGGAGCAGCTTAAAATTAGTACTAAAAAAAATAGAAATTACTAGAAAAGATTTAATCATAATCCTTTGAAAAACCTGAAGCAATTAGACAAAGCCAGAATTACCCACCATGTTGACAAAGGATTTGATGAATGTGCAGCTCAGCTTACAGAAACAAAGACACTGTGTAAGTCTATTGAGCTTAATAGAACTACTCCAAGGCTGGATTTCACTGACAATGAATAGCAATAAAAACCCCCTTGTGCTTCATGGGTTACCTAAGATAGGCAATGCAAGCCAGTCCTGTTCAAGCTTACAGTCCTCCTTCATTGGCCATTGCCTAAGGATCTTGGCAGGCAGAAGAACAGAGCACGACCAGTGTCGGTGGTGCAGAGGGCATGGGCAGAACCTGGGATGTGAATGTTCCTGTGGATCTCACTGGAATGAGCTCATTCTTGGGTCTGAATGCCCCATTGCTATTTCTGCTGTCCCTGATCAGGCAAGACAAGGTGTGAAATCTCTCAGGTGTACAACGGTTAATTAACAAGCTCTCCACTCCGAGTTGTGCTGAGTAATAGAGGCACTGGATTGCCTCTTTCCATCTGTGACTCAGAGCCTGCTCTCTTACTTGTGGGTGTGAGCATATTCTGGACATTAGTGCAGACTGTCCAGATAATGAACCTTTGCTATGCATAATACCTGCAGGGAAGTGATTTTCACATGTGGATACAGACAGAGGAGAAAGTCACACCTCCACTGGGGGAAAAGAGGGAAAAGGAGAAAATGAAGTTCCAGCAGTTGCTTTCATACCAATTCACTGCACAACCTTGGCATGGCATTTTACTTCTGTAACCTGAGGGTAGAGCTATCGACACTTACTGAAGCAGTAATATATTCAACATTTCTATTTCTTGAGTGCAGGGGACTGAAACAGTACTTCCATCACATGGACAGCTCTCAGACACCTCGGATTTCATGGAAGTTCAAAATCTGAGATTTCAAATTAATAGAGATTAGTGACATTTCATCATGTTTTTTGATCTGACTGTTATATTTCACTCCAGAGATCCCTCCTTGTGACATTCAGATGCAAAGCACCAAGTCAGGTGGTAATAAATGTAAGCCATATAACTGGAAAAACACAATTCAGTCAACTGTACAGTGACAGGAAGAGTTTGGTGATGGCTGGTGTGACAGCAGCACCAGCACATGGAGTCAATTGTTCTTGTAATGAAGAAAAGAAGGACCCAGATTAGCATTTCCAAGAAACAAGTGTCATATGAACACAGTCACAAATATGATTGAGGGCTGAAAATTCAGAGTGGCTGCTAAATATTTTCTTCACATTCTTTCTCAAACTGTTATTGGAGATACACTTCAACAGTCTGATTTTAAGCTGTCTTTTGAAGTAGCAGGCTAAATTCCCTTTGTATTCAAAATCAGGTCCTCTGGAACGTTATTAATCTCACCTATTTTCAGTGTCTACATTATTACGAGAAGCATCTTACTATAAAAGTATCAGCCTCTGCCTCTCTCTCTCTGAGAATGAAAGTTTGAGGCAATTACCTTGGATGGGAGGGGAGGGGTCTACTGCAGACATCTGACATTAAGGGAGAAGAATTCCTTATCTCTTTCAGGTTTTTGCATTACACAATCTCAGTCTACCCTTCAAAGTAAAATACTTGCAAAATGAGGACCTGAGGAGGAACCGAGGAAAGAACATGGGAACTTCAGGATAGTTTTAAGTATGTGTCAACATAAACATCCCAGTAATTGAGGACTTGAAGATTTTGTGACCAAGAAGGCTAACCAAGAGAGATAGAAATAGTTCCCAGTCTTTCCTTGCTTGTCAAAGACATTTCAGAATCTAATGGTAGTGCATAAGAATGACAGAATTGATTCTTACAATGGAAATCCACTTACAGATTCCCACTTCAGAAGGCATGCGATCAGTTTTCCTGCTTTGCAGGGCAGATCTGGAAATCAGACCCAAATATAATAATTTTGTGCATGTTGTGGGAGTCACTGGGTGCTGTGATGTGCACCAGATCTCACTGGAGAATGTAATCCTTCTGCTCTGGGACTTCCCCACTGCACCAAATGTGTTGAAGCAGTGCACAAGGGCTTCAGGAGTGGGCCACCTCCCAGGTGTTGTTTGGCAGTCTTTTGCTACAAGTGCTCTGCAACCAAGAAGAGGAGGATGATTCTTAGGGTAAAACAATTAGTGGCTTGTCATTAGTGACATCTATACCCATTGTTTGGTATTTTGAAAGCCTTTGTTTCAGAGGCCAGAAGGGAGTGGGAGAGCCTCCTGCTGATACTAAGCACAGGGGTTACCACAGCCATGCATGGAGGCACCTGGTTCCTGATGGGAGAGGGGTATCCAGCTGACATCTCCATTGTTCTGCTGTATTTTCTCTAGGCTGATAAACAGAGATAACATTACGGAACGAACAAAGAATTCTCTGCTTTATTGGATTTGAAGGAGTTTTTCTGCCATCCACCCACTGGCTTTTAAAACAGTTAATCCAATAAATATAATCTCGTATTATCAATGGAAGTGCCTCATCCTGATTTGGTAGGTCACATTGGCTCTTCATGTGGGTGCATGAGTGTGGCCTAAAGATGATACAAATTGGCATTCTGAATCATGTACTGCACTGTCCAGAACCTCAGTTGTTTCTTGTCTTTCCCACCTTGCAGGACTGGGCTTTGGCAGCAGTACTGCACCAAATTGCAGGTGGCAGGCAGTACTAAGAGAGACCTCAGGCTATTCCAGTCATGAGCGATGCATTGATTTATCCCTAGAATAAATCAAGTAACCAAACAATACATTTGCATAAGAGATGAGCATCTCTTTCATAACCTTCCTGGCCAGGGGGTATTTCTGCAACTTGCAATGTCGTTCTTCTCTTCCCACCATGCTTTTTATTAAAACTGCTATGCTCTGTGTTACTGGCATCCAGCTGATAAATTCAAATGCCATTTTTCTGGAGGAATCCAAATAAAATTAGTTCAACTCTCTTCAGCTTCTCTCCAAATGAAATGCTGTGACACCATGTCTTTTCGTCAGTTATGCTCTTATTTGACGTTGGCTTGTGATGGTTTATTTGCAGGAAGTAGCTTATCATCAATACTCAAGGGTTTTACTGAATCTACCTGTATTTTTACTGAAACAGGAGGGATAAAAAGAAGGGAAAGAAAGCAGTGCATGACCTCATGTAAGCAACATGAAGTCTGTGTATGCAAATAAACACATATTTTGGCCTTATTCATGTACAGAGAAATTGCTGTCTTACAGAAGAGATGGGATAGTGAGGACAGAAATGAATGTTGAGTTAATTTCATACTTGTGACTTTCTGTTGGCCTACACAAGAAAACACATTGCAACAAACTAAATATAAAATAACAAACAAAATATGAGGTAACAGACTTGGGCAGATAAAGGAACAATTGCCTTTTAACCACCAAGAAAAGAAAAAAGACCAGTGTTCAAATCCTACTACCTCGGTGAATCGCAGCAAACCACCGTTCCCTTAAAAATACATGTGAGAGCTCTGCAGAATCTTCAAAGCTTTTTTGAAGGGAAAACAGTTACAAAGGGGTGAACCAGTGGCTGTTTCTAATACTGCTTTGAGAAGTGCTTTCCACCCTTATGTAAGTCTGCTACCTCTTTGGATCAGTTTCTCTGTAAATTCATAGCAACTTCAGACTATCTTGGTCAGAAATGAATGTTTGCACTGAAGCTTTTTACTTTCCTGAAACACTTTGGGATGTAGCTTCTGTTGAAAGCACATTGCTGTTTTAAAGCCTTTTGAAATGATGGCACATTTCCTGCAGTTCGCTGCTTTTGCACCATCTGGCAATTGAAATCTTCTCATCACCAAAGAGGTTTTAGAAAGCATAATACAGCCACGCCTGTCATTCAAACTAGATCCGATGGGGTCATCCCTTAGGAAACAAGATTAAAACCTTTGAGTAACCTTCAGATTCATTCAGTCCCTGGTGTGGGTTTTGTTCTTCAGGCCTTGTCAGCAAGAGCAGGTACTTAATGGCTACCAGGTATCCTGGTGGTGCAGCCGTTAGCAAACCATTTAGTTGCTCTTGGTGATAGTGTCTCTAAACACTTGTCCATTGCAAGATGAACTGACAGAATAAGTGTTCAGCAAAATGTTGTGGTGTTCAACTCCGGGACAGCTTCATAAAGGTAATAATTCACATGCTGTTGCTTTGTGAAGTATCTCACATCAAGCTGCAGCCTCTTCAGTGTACGATGATGACCTGTATCCCATCCCGCTATGCTGTGTTACGGGCTGCTGGCTGGCTGGAATACTGCTCTCTGTATTAGAGAACTTTGTGTTATCAGACTGCAAAGCAGGGCCTGGGATTACTGGATGGCTGTAAAAGATTTTGCTGTATTTATTGTTCTCAGGGTGGAACCTGCACTTACCCGCATCAAAGAAGATCGAAAGCGGATCATCCTACCAGCAATTGACAATATCAAGTACAACACTTTTGAAGTGCAGCAATACGCCAATGCAGCCCACGGCTATAACTGGGGCCTCTGGTGCATGTACATAATCCCACCGCAGGACTGGCTCGATAAAGGGGATGAGTCAGCTCCCATCAGGTAAATCTCCCATGTGCTGTCATTTCGGTACTAGCGATGTTGCCGTCTCAGCTCTCTGCTGGGGGGAACTGAAGCGAAGCAAGGCTATAGGTGTTGTACACGGAAAGCAATCTGGAACTGAAGAAAACAGATGGCTCTACAAAGCTGTGGATGTATGTGTTGCATCTCTGAGTTGCACCACAGTGTACACAGAAATGCATGTGCTCTAGTTGTGAACGTGTGGTTCAAGTTGGACCTAGATGGGGTTGGAAGTAGATGATCTTAAGATCCTTTCCAACCCTAACCATTCTATGATTCTATGATTCTTAATTCACATTGTAGCCCTTAGTAGGAGAGCAGGATCTTTTTTAATTATGCTTTTATTTTCCAGTGGGCTCTGGCATGAGTAATAAGCCAGTGAAACATTGTGTGTGTGAGAAACAAAGGTATTTTTTATGTGATTACAAAGAAACAGTCACTACAAGACAAGTTTACTACAAGACAGCACAGTCCTTCATCATTGACTCTTTGCTCAGCTCGAAACCGCAATAAGCAGGAAAGTAATTACTTAGGAAATCAGTTTTCCTGGATAACATGCCCTGCTCTCCTCACATTGTTTTGTATCTATTTCACTCAGCCCTGGGAAACAGTTTATTGATGAAGGATCAGCCAAAGCTTTCGTTCCTGAAATCAGGATTTCAGTCTTCCTGAAAAGTTTTACACACTTCATGACTTCCGGTTTATATGTGAAATCACCGTATCACTTTTCGTATGAGTTGTTCTAGTATTTGAGCATCTCCTGTTCTGGAGACAGTGGTCACATATCAGATAAAACTGAACTAAGAGTTTAACCTCAGCAAGTTCTTAGACATGATTTTCAGTGGTGGTAGCTCATGCACTCCCTTAAAGTATGGAAGCTGCATCTGCAAAACACTTCTGGAAATTGAACTACAGATCTTTTTAACAGAGAATAAGGAATGTCATTCCTGTAACAGGATAGCAGGTTTTATTCAGCATTACAGGGCTGATACAGAAGTGAATCAGGTCCACACTCAAGCACTGAGCGATGTTAAAATCTGATGCACATAAGTAGATGGCTCCTGAGAGCAGTGATTTTATGCTGAACCTCAGTGAAAAACTCTCCAATTAAACAGTGCATAAACTGCTCAGAGACAGATGAGACAAGCAGCACAAGGAGGATAGTGCCCAACACTTGCTGACAAGTATCAGGAGCACTGAGATGCTGTGATTGCATAAGTATCTCTCCTGCAAATTATGAATTACATGCCCTGAAATGCAGAGACTCCAACGTTGAACCATGAACACTTCTCTCCCTGGAACATGTGCTTTGAAGACAGCAATCTAGGAGAGCAGAGCATCCACTTTATAGCCACACTGCACTGATTTCTGATGAGTCTCCAAACCAGTAGCACCTGGATGGATTTGCTCAAGCATTTGGCTGTGCTGTCATATTATGCCTGCCTATAGAAGTTCTGTGGCTTTTAAGTGATATGCCACCGTTGGTGAAAAGGTTCAGGAAGTTTGCACTGGAAATTGAGATTTGAAAGCACCCGCGATGGGAACTTAGTAGCTGTAGAAAATTTAACACATGCTTTCAAAAAGAAGGAGAATTCAGACTAGTAAGAAAACTTTTCCAAAGATGTCTGTTAGTTTGGTACAGATCTTGGTTTTGTAACCAGCTTTCCAAACCATGAACTGCAACCGTGACTTCTGTGTCAGTCTGGTTTGCCAGGCATGCAAACTGGTCCACACTGAGGGTGTTTGGATCCATTTATCTGTTCAGTGCTTTCATGAGATTGCAGGATTATTCATCAGCATGAAAACTGCAAGCTCATTTAGTCTTTGCTGACGCTGTCCCTTTTAAGGCTTCCTTTGTCTTCAGCAACAGGTGGGTTTGTTTTGTGTCTCTCTGTGTATTTTGTAGAAGAAAAGGCTAATAACTAATGAGCCCACGAATAGTTCTGTTGTTGATGTAGTTGAATTCTCCCTCCCAGGTCTCCATCCCAGGCATTAAAGATTTTCAGTGTGAAAAAAAGCTTACCCTGCTGTCAGTGTGGATCAGAGCCCTGGCATTTCTGATGTTTGCATTGTATGAATGTCATCGATCAGCAGAATTGGGTGAGACATTCAGAAAGCAGAGACAATTCCTGTTTTATTCTGGGATTACACAACAGATGTGCTTACTTCTTGTCTCAGAAGTTTTCCATTTGAAGCCTGATCCTCTGCTTTCTTGAACACTAACAGTGGTGTGATCCTACTCAGAGACTTGCTGAGAAGGAGCAGGAACTGATCTTCTAGTCAGTGGGGCAACATATAGGCAGTCATGTCAAGTGCACACCATACAATGTCAAATCAGCTGTTGTGGTCCAAGTGACAAAGGGGATGTGGCCTTGAAATGCAAACAAAGTTAAAAAAATAGCAAGAACAAAGTGTCAGATCTGGTAAGGATTTCTGATGCCGTTTAAAGTCAGTTCTTCTTTTCTTCCCACATTAAGACTCTGAAATTCAGAACAATTGATGTTCCCTGAGTCGCCTTCTGCAGGCAATCATTTGCATGTTTGACATTTGAGATGTAAGATGCCTCTAATGTGAAGATTTAAATGATGATTGTTATTTTGACACACTGTGTCCATCACATCATTTTCCATTTGTGTTCCTGAGAACACACTGCCCAAACCCGTCCTTATCATCTGGCAACAAACTGTGTAACAAAGGATCCTATTTCAGAGGGTTTCTAATGAATTTGACTATGCATTGCAACAAGCTGGGTTTTTTTTCTATATGCAGAAGATGCTACTGGTTTTTGAGACAGCAAGGAAGGTTTCTGGTATCCTGAGCTCTGGCTCATCTTCCCTCACCTGCCGTGATTATGATGGACTGCTCTGTGTTTCATTTCTTGATCAGCAGCCACTAACATTAGAGACCTCAGTCAGCCTCACTCAGCCAAGCACTGCACAGCTTTCCCGTTTATCTTCCTCCAGCAGCAGTGGTGCATTTCATTGTTTCATATGTTCTCACTTACTGCCTTAATATGCCATATCTGGGTACCGGTAGGAATGTGTATGTACATGCGCTGGATCAGGCGCTCCAGAGAGCACGAGTGTCTTGCTCCTGGATATAAATTAGCACCTGGTGTGCCCTCAGTGGGGTGGTTTGTGCTGCCTGCTTCAGCTGGGAGTGTGCACTTCCTCCTCACGTGCAAGTCAGGCCCCGTGCTGGTCTGTGTAGCGATGGTGTTAGCTGTGTTAGGTCAGTTATCCTGGAAACCGGACTTGCTGTGTGCTCTGAAAACCGTTTCAAATGCGACCTGACTGCACGTACATTGACCTTAAGGCAGAAGGGGAAAGATGTGTAAGGGAGAGGAAGACTTACCGTATCATGTGCAGTATGTCAGTTTGGTGCTCATCCCTTTCTTCTTCACTTGTTCTTGATGAAACCCCCGGGCAACATGTCTCAGTTGCCTGTAAAGGAGGGGAATGCACCTTTCTGGGGAAATGGGTGTTGGAGTTCTGCTAAAGCCTGCTGGCATTCTGCTGACAGAGCTGTGCTCCTGGAGATCTTGCTAAAACAGAACACTTGGGACTCAGGCCTATAGCAAGTGGCTTTCATTTCTGGCCAGGATGTCTCCTGTTTCTAGTGCCCGTCCCATAGCACTGCTCTCTTCC